AAATTTTTACCCAAGGGCTTTTATTTGAACAGACTTGGTAAGACACCCATAAGAAGATGTTTCATGCTAAACATCTAAGTTCTAGCTCATTGGGTTTCTTAAAAGAAGATTTTTAAGTTTTTACTATACACATATAGTTAAAAACAATGACACCCCTGGGGCAGGGCCAGTTTTGACCCCTGGGCTTTTATTTGAACAAACTTTGTAGATATTTACTTAAAGATGTTTCATGTATAATATCTAAACTCAAGCTATTTGGGTTTTTTCAAAGAAGATTTTTAAGTTTTTGATATACACATATAAGGAAAATCAATGACCCCCCGGGCAGGGCCAGTTTTGACCCCAGGGCTTTTATTTGAACATACTTGGTAGACACCCATTAGAACATGTTTCATGCTAAATATCTTAGCTCTAGCTCTTTGAGTTCTTTAAAAGAAGATTTTTTAAGTTTTTACTATATGCATATAGGGAAAATCAATGACCCCCTGGGGCGGGGCCAATTTTGACCCCAGGGCTTTTATTTGAACAAACTTGGTAGACACTCATTAGAAGATGTTTCATGTCAAATATCTTAGCTCTAGCTCTTTGGGTTCTTTAAAAGAAGATTTTTTAACTTTTTACTATATGCATATAGGGAAAATCTATGACCCCCTGGGACGGGGCCAATTTTGACCCCAGGGCTTTTATTTGAACAAACTTGGTAGACATGCACTAGAAGATGTTTCATGCCAAATATCTAAGCTCTAGCTCTTACAGTTCTTTAAAAGAAGATTTTTTAAGTTTTTACTATATGCATATAGGGAAAATCAATGACCCCCCGGGCCGGGGCCAATTTTGACCCCAGGGCTTTTATTTGAACAAACTTGGTAGACACTCACTAGAAGATGTTTCATGCCAAATATCTTAGCTCTAGCTCTTTGGGTTCTTTAAAAGAAGATTTTTTAAGTTTTTACTATATGCATATAGGGAAAATCAATGACCCCCTGGGGCGGGGCCAATTTTGACCCTAAGGCTTTTATTTGAACAAACTTGGTAGACACTCATTAGAAGATGTTTCATGCCAAATATCTAAGCTCTAGCTCTTACGGTTCTTTAAAAGAAGATATTTAAAGATTTTTCTTTCGGTTGCCATGGCAACCAGAGTTCTGCATGAAATGGAATTCTTTGAACAATCTTGATAGAGCTTCATACAAAGAGTATTCCTGCTAAGTTTCATTAACATTGGCCTTGCGGTATCATAGAAGATGTCCTTAGAATATTTAAAATGTGGACGGACGACAGACGAAGGACGCCATTTGGTTGGCCATCCTAAAAGCTCACCTGCACTTTGTGCAAGGTGAGCTAAAAACATACAAAATATGTCAAGCTACTGTGGCACAAAATCAAATCACAAAAAAAAGAACTAAAAAAGTATAAAATACAAATTTAAAACAGTTGCTTTGATAGTTAAATTTACAGTTGACATATACAAAAATTATTATCTAAAAGGCACTATTTCCATAATATTACTAAACCAGCAGTAGATTTTCTTAATGAATAAAATCCATTATCAAATAATTTCTTAATGAATAATATCCACTATCAATTGATTTCTTAATGAATAAAATCCATTATTAATTAATTTCTTAACAATATCCATTATCAATTGATTTCTTAATGAACAAAAATCCATTATCAATTAATTTTAATATCAATTAAAAATGTAATATATGTGGCTTTGAAAAATGTAATATAGATAATGTGGCTATGAAAAATGTAATATAGATAATGTGGCTATGAAAAATGTAATATAAATAAATAACAGTCAGTAAATTGATGAAGTTTGTCATTTGATATATTATAATATTGATATATCGTTGATATACTTTGAAATGAATCAATGACAGGTTTTACAATAATAGACATAAAGTATCCAGCAATCAAATTTGTTTATCATGAAAAACATTTCCGTTAAAACAAAGTTGAAAAAAATCTTACTTCAAAAGAGTTTGCTTCAGTGTGAAAATAAAATAAAATTATCGGACAAAGTCATGCATTTCAAACTCTTAATTAACATACAATGTAGCTCAGTAACAATTTAACAAACTAGTGACAAATAATTGTTCAATATACTCTCTAGTCTCTAATATTATTCAGATTTTTAAAATATACTAAAATTCACTTTAATTCAGGCAACACAAAAAATGCCCTGAAAATCACACTACACAGAAATATTAATACAAAATTGATTGTTTTCCATATCAAAACACTTTAGTAATGATTTTGATGAATTCTTATTTATCTTTATTACAATATGTTAAAGTTTCCTCCCTTGAAAAATGAAATTACTGTTTATAAATCTTTTGGAGCTTCATACACACTAGGTAAAGGAACTATTTATAAATCTTTTGGAGCTTCATACACACTAGGTAAAGGAACTATTTATAAATCTTTTGGAGCTTCATAAACACTAGCTAAAGGAAATTCTAAACCATCTCCGGGTAGAGGAGATGGTAACCAAGGTGATAACCACCCCACTCTCCAGTTTTCACCCATCACAGCTCTCACGTTTTCTTTCCATCCCAAATCATATTTGAGTACATTATGTGTACTCTCATGCGTTATCTGTCCCCGATAAAGATTCTTTAAATGGTATGAAAGTAGTCCCGTCATTGCACACATTGCAGCAATGCACAGCAGCAAAATGGCCGATAGTAGCATCTCATTGAAGGTAACATAACCTATAACCCAGGCAAAGAATGGAAAAATGAGCTTGAGTAGTGACAAAGGAAACCATTCAGTTCCCACTATAGTCCAGGCAATACTAATATTCATAAAAGTTGCATACCAACCCGCAAGGGCATTATAAAACAACAGCATCATGTAGTAACGATGGTTTTTGTGCCCTACACAATTCCCAGTGAAAACACAATGATGATCTCGGCGAAGTACGCATGTTTTACAGGTGTAACAATGAAATGATCTAGGTGGCGCATTACATTCACATATATGACAGAACCTCCATCCTGAAATGAGCAAAAACGTCACATAATTATATGGAAATGTCATATATATGGCAGAATTTCCATCCTAAAATAAGCAAAAATTCGTCACATATATGGCAGAATCTCTATTACACCTGAAATGAGCAAAAGAAAGGTTCAAGCCTTAAGAGCTGCATGCCTCCAGATCAGAGACATAGATAACAGAGATAAGCAGCTCCTATATACTCCATTGAAATATCACTCATGCCTATCAAAAAGTGAAAAATTAAGCATTTTGTAGCAAATAAAACTGAATGGATGTTATCATGTACATATGCTCCTTTAATATCATAAATCATTTGAAAGATAAATCTTTAATCTACTGCTGCATGTTAAAATATTGTTACCTTTCCATGCCTTTCACTTTGAAAAACATAGTAGAACATACCCACTGAGCCTGTTTTTTGTCATATGAATAGTTTTGTAACAAAAATTAATAAGTAGTTCTCTTTAATAAATGACGTAGCATTTATTTAAATAGGAACTGTAAATATTTTCACCTGCAGCCATAGACAAATGCATAAGCTTTCAGAAAATGTATTATTTTACTGATTTTGATATCTGGTTAATAAGTTTTACTTGCTACAAGTTTTAAGTTTATTAGGCATGCGTGATATTTTAACTGGCTAGGAAGTTGCCTATCTCTGTTATCTATGTCTCTGTCCAGATGAACTAAAATATTTCAAGAAAATCGAAAAATGCATGTAGCAGTTACGCTCGGACACGGGTTTGGGACAAGCCCCCCCCCCCTGTTAATAGTGAGGCAGACCTGGATTTTGTGTGTGACACACCAATCCATCATGGTGAACATTTGTATCAAGTTATTTTGTAATCCCTCTAAGAATGAGCTAGATATAAACGGGACAAATCTAGACAAACGCACAGACTGATAGACACACATATGCCAAATTGCCACAAGTGAGAAGTGGCATAAGTCAACCTAACCACAAGCAGGCTCCACAATTAAAAAATCCATTGACCACAAAGCAATAATACTTCAAAGCATAAGCACGATACAGCACCAACAAACAAATTTTAATATTTTTCTTTGACCTCTTGAGACCTTGACCTTCATTTTGAGTGGGACAAGTCAACTCAACATGGAGAACATTTGTGCATAGTTAGATTAAAATCCATCTTTGTGTATAACTAATTAACTATATAGTAGTTATAATTGCAAATGAATGTTTTATTTTGTTATTTGACCTTTTATCCCTAAGTGTGACCTTAACCTTTACCACAGACACCTGAATTTGCTTCACATTTCGCCTAACTTTGTCCTGAGTTATATTAAAATCCCTCTATGCATGTGAAAGTTATGCTCGGGCATGGGTTTTGCCCTGACCCCAAAGTGACCTTGACCTTTTAGCGTCCGACCTGGTTTTAGTTTGCGACACACCAACCCATCATGGTGAATATTTGTACCCAATTATTTTGTATGCCTTCAAAGAATGAGCTAGATATATACCTGACAAATCCTTAAACAGTGTTAAAATACTTTACCAGGAAGGACTTTAGCTACATGTGTTTATACTTTACCTAGTTCTGGCTTCCATAACTTTATGTGTCGCTTTTATTTTGACGTTGCGACAGTCAAGTTATGGGTCAACCCTATTTGCAAAGGCTACCAGAATTTGACAGTTTGTGCGCCGTACATAAAAACCTACTAAAATCACCCTTATCAATCAAATTTGGGTCAAATAAAAATACCATTTGATAAACAAATCAATTTTGAACCAATTCATGTTTTGTTTTTAAATGAAACTTCAATGACATTGTGTACCTAACTATTTTTTAAAGAAATGTGTAGTGGATGTTTACCAATATGGGGTCTGCTTTGAAATGAGATCTCGCGGTACTTCATGTTTTGGAAATTCTAGGATCTATTTTTAGTAACGGACCATAAACACTTTTTTTAGTAAGTGTATGATTTTGTATAAAAACAAACAAATAATTCATGAATCATCACTCAAAACAATATAAATTCAATATGTTTTTGGTACAATGTCTGTTATTGAATAAATACACCCTTATTCATAATTGCAAAGCCATGTTTTCAATTAAAAATAGCATTTGGGTCACGTGTCATGCAAAGGTATCCAAACCTAAATTCTCGCTTGGCACGTGATAATTAGGGCAGCAATGGCGGCGAATTTCATGAAATGTGAACCCGCTGATAAACTTTGAGGCAATATTTCATCAATCTAACATTCTGTGTTCAAAAATATAGACTGAAGGGTCCCAAATATATCTAACTACCTGTATTAAAATAGTTTTTGTCCAGATCGCGCAAATTTATTGAATTACAGCATGACATAAAAATGTCACGGTTCTGGTTGACTTTCGATACGGGGTTGGCTTCAGCGAACAGGTCTAGCAATACTATAAAACCTGTTCGCTGAAGTTTCTTTAGCTATACTTTACCTGGCTTAAGAATGCTGGGTAACATGAGTCCTCGGATACTTGTTTCTGTTGATATAATCTTCCAAAAACTACTCAATGCGTTGAAATAGATGACGCACCCACATGTCATGTGAAAATACCACTTCCATGAACTGTACTCATAATCCTCTGACTCTGTAACAATTTTCGGGAGGACATATAAAAGCTCAAAATAAAATATTGCATTTATCCCAAATAATGTAAAAATATAAGCGAATGTATCCGTGGGTGTTTTCGGAAGCAGTCTCTTCCAGTTTGCCATGTTATCTTTACGGATTTCGGACCAAAAAATAACTTATTTCGAAATAATTCATAAGTGAAAGCAGAAAATTATCATCGATGTTGGTAGACGCTTTTTGGGCAAACACCACTATAGTTATTTCGGGAATTAACATTCGCCGGGCCGGTCCCTTCCGGTCCCCGGTCTCTTTTGACCGACAAATACTATATAACGGAGAATAGCATCAATATTTGCCAGCCTGGCCTAAACTAGTCTTCAAACGATTATTTCTATAGATGCTTCGATGCTTCAATATGAAAAAGTATTCATATAATTATTATTATTTGAAATAATACACTTAAAGTATTTTCTTAAATAAGACCTTGCTATTTTTGTAAAGTCCGTTTTGAGTAAACGACATTAAATTATCTAAAATAAATAACGAAAAATGCGGGAAATTCAAAGATGGATACTTTCGAATTCATTTATTGTTTTTAAGATTATTATTAATGTCTGTGACAAGTTATATCGAAGATATTTGTTTAGTTCAGTGTAAGATCGGAATATATTTCACCAAGTGAGCACCAAAAGATGTATATGAAATGTTAACTTTTGGTGTTCGCGAGGTGAAATATATTTCGATCTTACACTAAACTAAACAAATTTTCTTACACTAAACTAAACAAAATTTTATTTTTATATTATACAAAGGAACGTTTAAAAAGACATTTTAACCTTGTACTAAATGAAAAGCATGCCAAATAATAATACAATGTGACGTCATTTATGGCGTCACATCATAAAGTTGGTTTTCAGCACTATGCACGCTGGTATTTCACTGAAACAACCTAAGGGGCTTTAATTCCCAACAGTGAAATTATCAAATTGATAATTTCATTGCTTAAAGCAGAGACATATATAATATGTTATCTATGTCTCTGCTTTAAACAGTGAAATTATCATTCATGTGTTTTTATTCAATAAAAGCTGTTTTTAATATAATTAATTTATGTAATTAACAAATGAAATATAGAATGTAAAAAATTTTGCCATCAACAGTTTGAAAACAGGTGTGAAAAAGTTTGTATTTGAACACGTGTCGAATCGTTATTTAACTGTGGCGAATCGTTAATACTCTGTGTCGAATCGTTATGTGGCGAATCGTTAGTGTGGCGAATCGTTACATTACCAATAAATGCACTAAACTGTATTGCAAGTAAGAAATGAATATAATTTTTGTGAATAAGACAATTTTTCCCATATGTTTACATCTCGACATAATATGCCTCTGTGTAAATAAATTAATGAATGCCTTTAATAATCAATGATTGTATGTTCATGGTTGATACACAAACCAATCAATCCCCATAGCTCATATTTTAGACAGATCCTTCCATCAGACAATAAAATACAGTTTTTATCCTATAATCTTTACTTGCATACTAAACCGGAAATTCATACTGAGGTAACTTTGAAACTCGGACGAGCATATACTTTAATTTCTAATCTACAAGTATTACTTTATGTTACGCATCTGTTTATGTCATTGCTATTCAAAAGAGAGGCAGGAAGCGACCGGACAGGCGAATTGTATATCCATATTAAAACTCCTCACACTGATTATCTCCCTTGGCAGAATTGTACTCTCTGTACTGATAAGGGGAGATCACTGCGTAGGAGATTGATTTAGTAGTGTTCAACTAAATAGAGCTTCATGCGGAATACCTCGTAGATTATCAGAATCAGGCAAAGGTTGAATATAATTTATTTATTTCTTTTATTACCGTTTGTGTCGATTATAAATATAATAAGTAATTTATCTACACGAAATGTATCATATGTCTTGTTCCCGAGGTCAGTGTAATATGAATAGAAATCTTACTGTACTATCCAGTAGTGTGCAAATTTGTGGACGCTTTTTTTTATTTCTACTTTCGGTTTTAAGTTGAGCATTTTTACAATGTGTCAACACCAAATCCATGTTTTAAAATCCTAACCATAATCCGTAACTCTCTAACACTAGCCCTATCTGTAGAAGTGATCTGAGTGATGTTGTAGAGGAACATATATATTGAAGAAATAATACATGCCATAATTTTTAGACTCATTTCCGGGACACTTCATTTAGAGGTGTGGCATTGATCAGCAAACGTTTTTTTAATTTACTTGGCATACAACCTATATTACTGGTATTTACAACTTGCTAATTTAATGACACCATCAACAAAACAATATGTCATTAAACAGGGCTACAGATAACATGCGTATTTGCGTAATTACCCAATTAAAATGTCAAAAAACGCAATTGAAATAATAACTAAGGGTAAGATAAAGTAAATAAATTCTTATTTATGCAAACTACATTGGAACTGGTGCGTAAAGACTTAAGTTATACTTAACGCCGTACATCAGGCAGATCATACTGTTTCAGATTGTTTTAACATTTAAATTATATCAGGCAGCTTGGAAATCTCCTAGTCCAATAAAGCATAGTAGTAAGTAGCTTTTTTAGTCTTATCAGTAGGTTTTCGAGTAAAGATAAGCGGTTGCGTATCTCGCTGTATAAATCGTATGTAAAATGGTCTAACATATGGTAGGTAGGTTTAACAGTTAATTTAAATACTTTGGTGTCAAAAGATGTGTTAAATTATATACTGTGACAAAGCTAAGATCCCAAGCTTTCCAATGATGTAATAATTTTTAAAATCAAACATTTAATTACAACAAACTAGCGGTTTAAAAATGGCTTAATTTGTATTGTTTTAGCGTAAGAGATATCAATTTTACTCAAAGATAAGGGAAATAACTGGTATTTGTTCACTCGATATACATCGGTTATTTACCTAGTTTATATAAAAAGTGTTTATGGGTGTATTATTAACAGTTATTCTATCTTTTTTTAAGTATTTATTTTAGGCATTGTAAATTCAATCAGTCACAGAATAGAATAAAGCTATGTTCAGTGAGGACAATTAGCCATGTTGTTTACCTGAAACATTTGCTGAATCCTGTATATTTCATAACCTCATATTTAGTGGTAAATTTCACAGTGTTTGACCACTATTGGCACTAATAACTGCCTGCAGGGGGATTAAATTTATACTGGCCAGTTGTTAATTACAGTGTATGACACCTTCCCTCAGGAAGCCACAGGGGGTAAACTATTAATCTTTTAATTGATCAAAATTATTGCTGATAATTGTTTGTTGGAAGGGGCACATAGATATACCAATCAAATGATTAGTGTCAGTATTGTAATGCTGTAAGGGGATAATCGTTTGTTATTAGGGTTCTAGAATACATATAGTTTATAAAAACTTGACAATAAGATTATTTAAAAATGTAAAATTTCTGGCTACAAAGTAGATTATTTTAGATTTTTTTTACCGGGACATAAATCATCTCCGGGACAGACACCTTATTTCCAGGACTTTCCTGGACATCCGGGCGTTATGGCATGTATTAAGAAATTATTTTTTTTGCTAACTATAAAGCCCAAATCTGTCATCTGTCCCTATTTAACAGGTCTAGGATTTCATGATATTTATGGACAGTCTGTAAATTTTTGGACAGTCCATAATTTTAAAGATTTTCTTTATCTGTAAATTTACCGACATTATAGAAGTGGCTTTAAAATTCAAAACTGCAGGTTAAAATGAATAAGTCTACGTATTATTTGATTAAATGTATCAATATGGTAAGATTCAGAACAATTTGATGATTTTCAATTTTCACTTTTAACAAAAATTTCAAAATTATCATACAAAGATGAAACTCACTCCATTACCTTTGTAGATATAAACAATCAATAAAACAACTTGTTTTAAGCTGCGGATTTTAGTATAAAACTAAAAACAGCAAATTCCACATTGAATATCTGTAAATTTATGGATTAAAAAATCTTTAAATTTCTGGACTGTCTATAAATTTACGGACAGTCCATAAATATAATGAAATCCTAGACCTGTTTAAGGTGATTCAGCATTGTCAACCATGGTTGTTTTCACAAAGTGGGTGAAAAGTGAAAGTTTGCCAAAATTCATATAATAAAAAAGCTCAGAAATTTAAAATGATGAACAATTTGCAATGACACTTCCAAGTCTATGTTTCAAGGACTAATATACATGTAAACAAAAATAAAAATGATGTGGACTTTTAAAGTGAAACACAAGTAAGAATTATATGCCTATCATTTTTTAATTTTCAGGAAGATAGGAAGGTTTTTTGACAAAAAAATGTGTTTACAGTAATACAAAGCTTACACAATGTCTGACAGTACAGAAAGCTCAGCATATTTTTACAGAATAATCTCTCTTGTTGTTGATGTGGGCACTGAAACTTTGAGAGATATTTTTTACTGGAAAGTGCCGAAATCAAATGTTGTCACTCTGTTTGCAACTCCTGGAGTTCAGTCTGAATTTAAAAGACTAAAGGGAATCAAAGCCTTGACAGAAGTCCAGTATGCCAAAGTTACAAATAAGCCTGATCCTGACACATATGATATTTCTTTGTTAACTACACTTCTTACAAATCAGAAAATTTGTAGAATAAGTAAACCAAAAGATGGTTGGGGGAAAGTTCCGGATCAATCAGACATTTCTTTAGGAGCTGATCTTCTACGGCTGAGGGAAATAAGAAATGAAATTATTGCACATCGCAATAAGGCGCAATTAGAAGTAGAAGACTACAAAAAGATTTGGGGTAATGTAGAAATTGTTCTTTTACGGTTAGCTGCTAATATTGATGCATCAGAAAAAGACAAAGTCAAGGAAAAGATCAGGAGTGCAGAGACTCGAGTGCTTGAACCATTCCATGATAGGGAGAAGAAGTTGCTGCAGGTGTTTATTGAGTGGCAGAAAGAAGACAATAAGAAAACTGAAGTACAGCTGTCCGATATATCAAATAAATTAGAAAACCTTCACTTAAAGGTAAAGTGAAGTTTTGGAGTTTCAGTAGGGCAAAAATTTCTGTAAAAAAATGTAATAGCTAGTAGATATTTCCAATGTAATTTTGTAGTTCCCTATGATGATTTCATTTTTGAAAATCAAAGGTTAAAGGTCAACGTAAAGATAAGAACCAATATAGTTAACAATTGGGACAACTTGATGATTATTACTTCCTTCTCCCTAGATTAATGGAAATGGTGGAAAAGTTGCGATTGTACAATTTGTTCAACCTTGAACTTTAGCTACACAGTATCTGAGCTTTATAAACTTTTTTCCCCATACAATGGTGACTTTTCTAGTACAAGGTTTTGATGATCATGGTCATCTGAGAAAGGGTTAACTAACATGTAACTTCTTAATATGACAGAGACATTTGACATGTGAATTTGCTAAAACTTTGAGAAGCTGAATTATATCAAAAAAGTCATTGGACTTGATTATTGTATTATATAATTTTGCAGATGTTATGATGGCTGTCAGCAAAGTAAATATTGGATGGGCAGAATGGTATATACATTGTAATATGTAATGATATATTTATACAGAATGACTCATCGTGAGAATATATTTATATAGGTTGACAGTTTGAAAACTCCAGCAGATGAAACAGATGCAGCACGCTCAAATGTCACATCGGAAGACACTCTGTCCTCTATTCAGTCTCAAGTTAGCAGTGTTCTTGAGAATTTGGGCAGCATTGCTACACAAGATGACGTCAGTCAGGTTTGTTTTGAAGTCAATCTTTAAACCAGTTAAATTTCTTAACTTTCTTCTGTTTTTAGCTCGACTATTCACAGAATAATCAAGCTTATGCAGTCACCCATTTGTCGGCATCAGTGTCGGCGTCCCTGTGGTTCAGTTTTTGCTGGTATCTCATAACATGATTAGTACAAGTCCCATAACTCTGATTAGCTTTTTTTAGCTCACCTTGCACAAAGTGCAGGTGAGCTTTTAGGATGGCCAACCAAATGGCGTCCGTCGTCTGTCGTCCGTCCACATTTTAAATATTCTAAGGACATCTTCTATGATACCGCAAGGCCAATGTTTATGAAACTTGGCAGGAATACTCTTTGTATGAAGCTCTATCAAGATTGTTCAAAGAATTCCATTTCATGCAGAACTCTGGTTGCCATGGCAACCGAAAGAAAAATCTTTAAATATCTTCTTTTAAAGAACCGTAAGAGCTAGAGCTTAGATATTTGGCATGAAACATCTTCTAATGAGTGTCTACCAAGTTTGTTCAAATAAAAGCCCTAGGGTCAAAATTGGCCCCTCCCCAGGGGGTCATTGATTTTCCCTATATGCATATAGTAAAAACTTAAAAAATCTTCTTTTAAAGAACCTAAAGAGCTAGAGCTAAGATATTTGGCATGAAACATCTTCTAGTGAGTGTCTACCAAGTTTGTTCAAATAAAAGCCCTGGGGTCAAAATTGGCCCCGGCCCGGGGGGTCATTGATTTTCCCTATATGCATATAGTAAAAACTTAAAAAAATCTTCTTTTAAAGAACTGTAAGAGCTATAGCTTAGATATTTGGCATGAAACATCTTCTAGTGAATGTCTACCAAGTTTATAGTAAAAACTTAAAAAATCTTCTTTTAAAGAACTGTAAAAGCTAGAGCTTAGATATTTGGCATGAAACATCTTCTAGTGAATGTCTACCAAGTTTGTTCAAATAAAAGCCCTGGGGTCAAAATTGGCCCCGCCCCAGGGGGTCATTGATTTTCCCTATATGCATATATAGAAAAAACTTAAAAATCTTCTTTTAAAGAACCCAAAGAGCTAGAGCTAAGATATTTAGCATGAAACATCTTCTAATGAGTGTCTACCAAGTTTGTTCAAATAAAAGCCCTGAGGTCAAAATTGGCCCTGCCCCAGGGGGTCATAGATTTTCCCTATATGCATATAGTAAAAACTTAAAAAAACTTCTTTTAAAGAACCCAAAGAGCTAGAGCTAAGATATTTGACATGAAATATCTTCTAGCCATGGCAACCGAAAGAAAAATCTTTAAATATCTTCTTTTAAAGAACCGTAAGAGCTATAGCTTAGATATTTGGCATGAAACATCTTCTAGTGAATGTCTACCAAGTTTGTTCAAATAAAAGCCCTGGGGTCAAAATTGGCCCCGTCCCAGGGGGTCATAGATTTTCCCTATATGCATATAGTAAAAACTTAAAAAATCTTCTTTTAAAGAACTCAAAGAGCTAGAGCTAAGATATTTAGCATGAAACATGTTCTAATGGGTGTCTACCAAGTATGTTCAAATAAAAGCCCTGGGGTCAAAACTGGCCCCACCCCGGGGGTCATTGATTTTCCTTATATGTGTATAGCAAAAACTTAAAAATCTTCTTTGAAAAAACCAAAATAGCTTGAGTTTAGATATTATACATGAAACATTTTTAAGTAAATATCTACAAACTTTGTTCAAATAAAAGCCCGGGGGTCAAAACTGGCCCTGCCCCAGGGGTGTCATTGTTTTTAACTATATGGGTATAGTAAAACTTAAAAAATCTTCTTTTAAAAAACCCAATGAGCTAGAACTTAGATGTTTAGCATGAAACATCTTCTTATGGGTGTCTACCAAGTCTGTTCAAATAAAAGCCCTTGGGTAAAAATTGGCCCGGGGGGGGGGGGCTATATACAGGTGAGCGACCTCAGGGCCATCATGGCCCTCTTGTTTTAATAATTATGCCCCTTTTTCAACTTAGAAATTCTTGGTTAAGTTTTTGATTGTAAGCTGGTATCTCCATAACTACGGAAGGGAATGGATTGAAACTTCACACACTTGTTCTCTGTGATTATCTAACATGATTGGCACAAGTACCATAACTCTGGGGATCTGATTTTCCTTTTATGTCTATAATAAAAACTTAAAAAATCTTCTTTTAAAAACCCCAAAAAGCTAGAGCTTAGATATTTATCATGAAACATCTTCTAATGGGTTTCTACCAAGTTGGTTAAAAAAAAGCCCCTTAATTAAAATTAGCCCCGCCCCAAGGGCCTATATACAGGTGAGCGATTTCAGGGCCATCATGGCCCTCTTGTTACAATTTATAAAGTTCTATATATGATGCAGGCCTTTCACTTAAAACACAACATTCAAAGGTGATTTTAGTTATGAATAGTCACTGTGTTTGTGACTTTTTCTACATTTCTTTTCCTTGTAGATTCAAGCTAATATGAAAAGAATGGAAGACAATGTTAAAGCTATATCTGAATTAGTGAAAATATTGAAGGAGACCGTCGAAAAAAGTAACCATAATTTGGAAGAATTATCAAAGAATGCACATATCAGTGGTAACTATGGCTACTACTTTTGAGTTACATTTTAATTTTTAATTTGACTATTTGAATGGTTAGTGGGATTGTCCTACACCCTGACATTAGTGTGAGCATCAGTGTTATGCTTGATCATGCTTGATCACGGTTCATATTTATATCTCATTAACCACTGAAGGTATTCACTCTGACTTTCTCACATTAACGTCAAAATTGTAGGTCAGTATGCAAACCCTGTTTTTAAACCATGAATAATCAATTTTAAATGAATTCTTCCCATAGAAGTTTCTGGTTAGGTTTTTATATGCAAATTTAAAGCCACAATATCAGAAAGTAACTTCAGCTTGGATTTTTACTGAATAACGGCTCTTTGAGGGCTTACAAAATTTCAGGCTTTAACTAGGTGTTTGTTTCACTATCAAGTAGTGAGAACTGTATATTTTGGTTTATACAGAAATTATTTATAATTTTGATTGTTTTAAATTACTTGTCGGACATGTAATTAATGTTTACCAATTGGCCATGCCGCCACTGTGTATTTAACCAGGTTTTCCGAAGGAAAAAACTGGTAATTAGATTGAGGTATGTCGGCGGGCGGACGGGCGGGTGGGCTGGCGGGCGGGCATAAACAATTTCTTCTGTGCGCAACTCCTTCTACATTTCTCAACAGATTTTTACCAAACTTTCAAAGAAGCTTTGTCATCAAGTGCCCTGTCACATATTGCCAGGGTTTTGCGATTGGATAATATTTGACCTAATTATGGCCCTTTGTTTTTTTTCTTTATATAGAATATATAGTGAACAATTTCTTCTGTGGGCAACTCCTCCTACATTTCTCATTGGATTTTGACCAAACTTTCACAGAAGCTTTGTTATCAAGTGCCCTGGCGCATATTGTCAGGGTTTTGCGATTGGATAATATTTGACCTAATTATGGCCCTTTGTTTTTTTCTTTATATAGAATATATAGTGAACAATTTCTTCTGTGGGCAACTCCTCCTACATTTCTCATTGGATTTTGACCAAACTTTCACAGAAGCTTTGTTATCAAGTGCCCTGGCGCATATTGTCAGGGTTTTGTGAGTGGATAATATTTGACCTAATTATGGCCCTTTGTTTTTTTTTCCTTATATAAAATATATAGAGAACAATTTCTTCTGTGCTCAACTCCTCCTACATTTCTCAACGGATTTTGACCAAACTTTCTCAGAAGCTTTGTCATCAAGTGCCCTGGCGCATATTGTCAGGGTTTTGCGATTGGATAATATTTGACCTAATTATGGCCCTTTGCTTTTTTTCCTTATATAAAATATATAGAGAACAATTTCTTCTGTGCTCAACTCCTCCTACATTTCTCAACGGTTTTTGACTAAACTTTCTCAGAAGCTTTGTCATCAAGTGCCCTGGCGCATATTGTCAGGGTTTTGCGATTGGATAATATTTGACCTAATTATGGCCCTTTGTTTTTTTTCTTTATATAGAATCAATATATAGTGAACAATTTCTTCTGTGCGCAACTCCTCCTACATTTTCTCATTGGATTTTGACCAAACTTTCACAGAAGCTTTGTTATCAAGTGCCCTGGCGCATATTGTCAGGGTTTTGTGAGTGGATAATATTTGATCTAATTATGGCCCTTTGTTTTTTTTCCTTATACTTAATATACATGTATAGTGAACACTACTTCTGTGGCAATTCCTCCTACATTATTCATGTTTTACATTGCACACAGTTACATTGTTTGTTGCTTGTATTTGTATTTCAAATACAACATATTTATCTACAATGGTGATAATTGAAACCTGGTTTCATGGCATTGCCGTGTTTCTTGTTTAGTAAATTGTCTTACTGAAAGCTCCTTTTAGAATTAAAACTGTGATGAACATGAAATAGTCAATGGTTGTCTAATTTTTTTATTGAAACATTTTATTTGACTCTTTAAATAAATCTGCATTGGGGTCTATCTCGTTAACATCAGATCATCATTTTCGGTCTGTTACCTCTCGCGTAACCTAGCAAAGGATAGTGGAGTGACAGATAAGATATGATTTAAATGAGATTGCATTGGGATGTTTATTGCCCTGCCTTGAAAATGTATATAGCAGTTACAAATATCTATCAATTAGATAGATCAATTCTACCAACCAAAAAAGAGTTAAACAAAGTTGCTTTAATTTTTATAGGGTGCCAGCCAATGTCTGCTATATTTGAAAGAGATCAGGGTAGACCGTATGTACCAGACAGACCTAAAAAACCGAAGATAGAAAATCCACATGCAATGACAGACAAAGAAATTCTCGAATTGAGTAAAAAGATTGGTAAATATTTATTTCCTATGCAATACAGTACAATACATTATAATGTAAGTTTGAATATTTAAATCAACTCCAGCTTAAATTTAAAAATTTATTGTTTTATAAAAAAAACACAATGTTTCAACTTAAAAAGTCTTCATCAGATATACAGTGAAATTTGAGAAAACCGGACGCTGAGAAAATCAGAACTCTCTAAATACCGGACGAATAATTCAGTCCCAAATTTTCCCTGCTTTAAACTATTGTATTAAACATTGACAATACCGGAATCTGTAAAAAACCGAATATCGGATGGTTGATTGGAGACTACAAAATCAATCATATAGACAATTACCCTGACATGACAATACGGGACCCCGAATGTGTGAATAACCTTGTGTACTTAATGTTAATTGAGCGGTAATGGAACAATGATTGTCTGATTTGTTTATAATGTCTCTTTTCACAGTTTGATTTATTGTAAGGTATAGATGTTACTGTTTTTTATAAATGCCAAAATGCACGAGGAATTGATCACGAATTAAAAACAGAGTATTTTCCTACTGTGTTGCTTTTTGTATATTCATTTCCTAAAATGACAATGTAACGGAAACGACAATTATCGGCGCTAAGTTCTATTCCATGGCCGGTAAGAATTTGACGAGAGCTGTCTACAAGTGACAAAGTTAAATTAATTAAAGACAGTGAAACTTTGCCGAAACCTACTTTAAAAATCTGACCAATATGTTATTATTATAAACAAACAAAGTTAAATCATTACTCATTACCCAAATGTAAACATATTCGGATGTACTCGGACTTGATCGTTATGAGGTAACTTCTGTTCATTTAAATCCAAACTTTAATTGTATTTATTTGCAATAATTGGACAAAAAAAATTAAAACATATTTTCTTGTATTTTTATCCTTTCTTTATTTAGCAATATCAGTGACATAAAAATGCCATCAGTGCTATATACAACAATGTCAAAATGTAATGCAATGTGATAAATTTGTTTTTGTTAATAATTGTTGAACTAAGTGTGGTTTTACTTACTGTTAAGTTTAAGTAAATTGACTTGTAATAATATTATATAAAACTGGACAAGTCGTTAATATTTGGATTTGATGTGATTGAGATTTTTGTCTGTTTCAGTTTGATTTGTTTATGATTTTTCTGTTTTCTTTTTTGTATTAAAATGTACAATTTTTTTATGATTGAAAGGTACTAAGATTATTTAAATATTTTATTTTATACATATATTTCTACTCTGAATCGCAAAAAATATTGAATAAAAATACTAATTTGTTATAAGTGAATCAAATTTTAGCTAATAAATTCATTACATTGCCATGGCATATAACACTATAGTTAATTGCCTATATATAATATAATTATGATTTAAAGAAGTGCAACATATATTTAAAAAAAAACAACATGGTTGTGGCTGCAGTAGGGCTCAAACCCTGAATCCCTCTATTGTGACCCAAACCTCATAACCACTAAGCTACTGCCCTCCTTAAAATTTTTGTTTTATGATCCAATAGGCTACGAGTGGGAATCTTTAAGAATACACTTGGACTTTACTGAGGCTCAGGGACATGCCTTGAAATGGGCCTTTAATGATGATGTAAGTAAAATTTCCTTAAAAAAAGTTAATCTACACACATTCCATTATTTCCAATAAATGCAATTATTTACCTTTTCATTGACATTGTATTTTATTAAATTAAGACAATCTATATGATATATACACATATATTGGTTGTCTTTAGCATACAGACAGTGGTTGTCATGGACAAGTTTTACTATATATGTTTTTTCTGTATGGAACAAAAGGTACAGAAAGTGGTGGTCACTGTATATATATTTTTAGCTCACCTAGCATGCTCAGGGTGAGCTTTTAGGATTCTCTGGTCAAAAAAAAACTAGGTCACAGGACTAAAAAAAGAAAAGGCTTGTGAACACTCTAGTGGCTGCAAGTTTTCATCCAAATTTCTGGAAATTTGTCAGGAAGGTTGTTGTTTTGATGATTTCTAGGTCAAGATATCCGGTCAAAAAACTAGGTCACAGATTCTAAAAATAGAAAAGCTTGTTAACACTCTAGCAGCTGCAGTTCTCATCCAAATATTCTGGAATTTGTCAGAAGGTTTTTTGATGATTTTTTAGGTCAAGTACAAAGATGGGTCATCTCCGGTCAAACTAGGTCCCACAGGAGCTAAAAATAGAAAAAGCTTGTTAACACTCTAGTGGCTGCAGTTTTCAATCCAAATATTCTTGGTAATTTGTCAGGAACGTTTCTTTGATGATATCTAAGCCAAAATCGAAGATGGGTCATGTCCGGTCAAAAATTAGGTCACAGGAGCTAAAAATAGAAAAACCTTGTTAACACTCTAGTGGCTGCAGTTTTTGATTCAAATATTCTGGAAATTTGTCAGGAAAGGTTGTTTTGATGATTTCTAAGGTCAAGTTGAAGATGGGCATTGTCCGGGTCAAAACTAGGTCTACAGGAGCTAAAAATAGAAAAAAGATTGTTAACACTCTAGCGGGCTGCAGTTTTGAGTAAAAATATTCTGGAAATTTGTCAGGAAGGTTGTTTTTTTGATGATTTCTAGGTCAAGTTTGAAGATAGTTCATCTACAGTCAAAAAAACTAGGCCAAGGAGCTAAAATAGAAAAAGTTTTGTTAACACTCTTGTGGCTGCATTTTCATCCAATATTTCTGGAAATTTTGTCAGGAAGGGTTGTTTTGATGATTTCACGGTCAAGTTCGAAGATTGGTCATGTCCGGTCAAAAAACTAGGTCACAGGAGCTAAAAATAGAAAAAATCTTTTAGCACATTAGTGGCTGCAGTTTTGATCCAAATTTACCTGGAAATTGGTCAGGAAGGTTGTTTTGATGATTTCTAGGTCAAGTTTGAATATGGGTCGTCTCCCGGTAAAAAAATTTGGTCACATTGCCCAAATATGGAAAACATTTTTAACACACTAGAGGTCACATGTTTGACTCAGTTGTCATCAAACTTGGCCCAGGATGCTTGTCTAAGACATTGCTTGGATGTGGTTGATGGGTCAAGGGGAGGGATCTAGGGCCATCATGGCCCTCTTGTTATATAATACTACACGTTTTTGTAACATCGTTTTTCATTGGATAATCATGACATTTATATAGTTTTTTATAACATAAATGCTGTCAATCTTTATTAAAAAACCTTATACTTTCCTCTTAAGGAAGTTTGCTGTATTATAAATTTGGTTTTAAAAGATTCTTTTTACAGGTTATATGGCCGTATATGAACAGTTGTTTGCCAATATAACTCACCTAGCATCTCTGTTTTATATAAATTAACTGTTAATATACAGCCATATAACCTGTCCAATATTTTTAGGTACAAGTTAGGATCTACCAGATGTTAAAGGGATGGCATGATGTGGTGGTCGATTGTGGAGAGAATCCTAAGAAGCTACTTGCTGCAGCATTTGTGAATGCCAGTACAAACTACCAAATGGCTTACAGCATTGTGCCTAGACAGCAGTTTGATCGTATGACATCATTATTGATTTTTCACTATTTTTTTTTTTTAAAGCATTAACAATTATGTTATATGTTCCGTAAGGTTTTTCAAACTATGCCATTTTCTATGTTTATTGTTTGTTTTAATACAGAACTTATTTTTAGTTATGTTGTGTATGAAACCATAAGCTTATTATAGTTATAGAAACAATCACTTATCAACCAAACATAGCAATTATAAAGTTTTATGCTCAAGGAAACAACAGTTTGCCCCTTATGGGATTTGAACCAATGTTACCAACAGTCCTTAGATTAACAGTTTGATGTGTTAACCACTCTTCCATGCTGTTACTTTTTTTTAATTGCTGATAAGGCATCTGCCGGGAGCCGAAGAACACCCATATCTTCATACCATATGCAAATTGAAAGTAGTTCGGATTCTACTGTCTACTTTGTACTACTATGTCTACATACACATTTATGACTACAATGCTGCAAACTTCACAATTTTTATTGTTGTTGATAATCTAAACAAGCTATTAAATACATGTAATGGTTTGTTGTGTACACGATGTATATTCCTTTTGGTAGCCACATTACATTTTAAACAGACACTTGATATCAGTTAATTTTATAACTTGGTGCAAATATAAGCAATATTGTATTGATACGATTTAAAAATATATGGTATTTTTCAAATGATAGACAAATATAAATTGGTATTTTTAAAATGATAGACCATAGGAACCCTTAACTTGAGTTCTTGCTAACATTAGAACATGTATATGTCCTTAATATCTTGTTTGTGTGCCTTCTCAAAATAACTATAGCATGTAAATTTGCCTTCCATTTTAATCATTCCAAGCTAACGCAGAACTAGACCTGCCACGTGTTAGGTGGCATTCAGAAAATATCAATTCAGCAAGACTGGGCTTTGAACCAAGGTGACGTGTTTCATGATCGTCCTGGAAGTGGAGCTTCCTAATCAGGCCAGCTGACCACCGAACCTGGAATACCGTCGTCCTTTAATGTGGTATGGGGAGAATAAAAAATTGAAGGATTGGGGGTATTCTCAGCCATCAATCAGCAAGTTAAGTAATATCTGAACTGTTTACTTTAAGCCAAAATTAGAACATAGAAAACATATGCAAGAAAATTTTGAAATGGAAAAAAAGGCTTTGTTCAGGAAGAAAATTTTCCACTTTATTTTATAATGTTTAAGAAAAAGTTCTAAGTCAATGGGAGATAATTTTTTAATACTTTTGTGTCAAGTTGTGAGCTATAATTCCAAATCATACCAGATTCTTTCTTCTGTTCATTAAGTAGTAAATAAAAAGAAATGTTCTGTATCGATTATTAGCATCCAATCGTTGCTTTTGAATTGTACCATGTGACCAAAACTGACCATATCCAATATATTTCCACATGGACAATTTAGTGCATTTGATGTTAATCGATAAGAGCTGTTAACAACAAAATTATCTGAATTAATTTTACATAAGATTGTTGAATGGTTGTTTTACATAAACCAATCTTGACTTGTAAGAATAATAATGATCGGTTCTTTGTTTGCGTGTCCCCGTATGATTCATATAAAGAATAAACAGATTATTAAACAAATGAACAGGTACAATTCTGGAACATGTTTGCACTCGACACACTCACCTGGTCGGCGTCCATATTTTTTCACCCAGCTGTGTACGAGTTCAAATATATTCACATGTTGTACTCCATTGATGTTAAATAACCTGTTATCATTCAGACTATAATGCAAGCCTTTAATCATTCAAATGCTTTGTAACTTAATCACCGGGGTTGACCTTCTTGATTATATTCCTGCTCATTGAACTCAAAAAATGTCTTATTTCAGAATTCTACAACCACGCGCTCATGGCTGAGTGGTCAAGGCTTTGAACTAGTGTTCTAACAATGCCTATGTGTGTGGTTCAAGCCCAGTCAGGTTCTTTTGTCAAGAAAATTTACATCATTGCTCAGTACTGTTGGTTCCAAAATAGATTCCAAAGATTGTCTATTACTCATCGCTTCCTACACTTGTCCAACTGAAATCAATTCTGTATAAACCCAACATACTCAAAATTTATAGCTTTTTGTACTTATTTCTGTATTTGATAATTGTTCTTCAAATAGGTTCAAGTTAATTTGCATCAGATAGTTTTTGATGGCCCGGCAGTAGAGATACAAGCTTTGGTTGTCAACATACATGGAGGAAAAGGTTGCAATATCAAATATGGCAATGGGACCCGCTACAACAAGTCAGTGGCTTTCCAAGCTATAATCAATCGCCTACTGTAAGAAGTATGTATGTAATAAAAAAATTTGCTAGTTCACATAATTGAAAAAGATTGTTTGCTTTTTACCTTCAGAATATTAAAACTGTTCTACATCTGAGCAAGTCTATTAAAAGCATTTCTTCCTGCGCTTACAAGTATAAGTAGTTCTTTTCTTCACTCATGATCAAGGAACGTTCTCTGAGTCCAAGTGGTTAAGGCCACCCCATGCTAAAGGGCATCAAGCAGAATATAGCAAGGGTTTACCCTTTGTCATCTCTCACAAAAAATTAGAATGTAGCGTGATGGGGAGATTTGATGAAAAAATTTAAACATTCATATTCAGCTTAATAAGCAATCGGTAAGTTATTATTTGTATTAATGTGCCTGTGGACCATTTGTTGAAATAACCTATGTTTAACTGTATTCTAGGAGAACACTTCGAGCATTGTGCCAGCTTCGGAAACCAACAACCAGGAAGTTTTCTTATCCTCGGTCACCGTTAGAAATAAGAATGACGATACGCTTAGTCAAAGCCATGGTTAGCTGCATTAGGTGAACAATAAATCAGTAGAGCTCTCGATAGTCTGCAAAATAACTCTTCGGAACTGTCTTCAGGTCGGGCAGAAGTAGTGATGACGGCATCACACGTTGTGTCCATGGTGATAGGTAAAGTATTTAAGATTGTGAAGACTTTTCTATCAACAAATTAAAGAAAAATTTTTGAAGATGTCATTCATTTGAAATGTTATACATCCTAAATAGATATAATAAATGGCTTTCAGTCCATAGTTATACTTGATTTGAATACCATATCTCCCAAATTCAGATTAAATTTTTCAGGAATAATCTATGAGGCTGTCTACAAAAGTTGTATGATGCACAAGTCATAACAAAGGCTAAACATACAATTTTTACAATGAAATTCTTAGAAACTATCATGCCTACATGATATGATTATTCCATGAGAGTCAGTTTTTTCTTCTCAAGGCTTCAGTTGATTATTACATTTTGTATGCATTGAATTACTAAATTGTTAAATATGCATGTGAATGTAAAAGTGGATAGTTGCAGAGTATTTATATACAAAATTTATAACTTGACAAAACATTGGCTTATTTCAAATCAATTACGCACTGCAATTTTAGACTAAGCAATTGTACTGTATTATTGAATGACTTACAATGATAATGACCTTTAGGGTCTTGTGAAAAATATTTAAAATAAAACTGTTGTTGGTCAAAGAAAGGTTTAGACAAAGAAGTTGTTTTGATTGAAGCAATGGAAAGCAAGGATGAATGTAAAAATAAACACAGAATTGAAGGATATATATTTTTAAATCTTCAACATTTTAAAGGACTGTACTGAGTTTGTTTTTTTTTATGTTGAGAGAATGGAAGTTATATTTTTGAGAATAATGTTCTATTGATGTAAGCTTGACAAATAACTTGTGTGCAAAATTTCAGATCATTTTCTCGCCTCCATTTTTCTAATTTAAAAAATGACCAAAAATTGTAAAGTGTTAAATTGAAAAGTGTTACTCAATCCGGTTAAAAATGAATAAAAGTATGATTTTCAATTTATCTCATAAGGATATTTCTTAGTTGATTTTGGCATGTCTTTCTGTTTCACATTCCCAGTGACTCAAAATACGAATGTTGTCATCTTTTTGGACTCAGTGGAGTTCCTTAATTCAATATAATTTGTTGTTTCAGAACCCTCATAACACAGGGAAACTCTCGACGTCAGTCGGTTTGACAAGTGATGACACTTTATATAAACTTCAATGAATCAGTAATATCGACCATTTGTTACCGTTTACAAAGTGAGAAAAGAATTTATGGAAAATAAAGAGTAATAACGTAGCAGTACTTGAAATTGCAAAATCGACCCTGATGGTCTTACAATGAAAATGAACCTATGTGTGATGTATATAATGAAAATACAACATCCAAATGTGTCGCTAGTTGCTATGGACATCCTTCCAGGTGTGATGAAGAAACATTTAGATCCAAACAATGTAAAGATCATAGCTCCGGATTCAGACAGATTGCGGCTGCACACGCTTTTTCTTTCAAACAAAATTTTGATTTTGATAGGCAGTTATACGAGAAAAATGAGGAAAGCCCTGATATTGTAAAACAAAGGTTACCTTGGCTATAATCTGACCTACCACAAATTGTGATTGTTGACTGTTTCATGAACACGGGCTCAGGGGGTCCAGCACTTAACAAGTAACAATGAAAGGTCGGTCCAAGTGGTTGACTTTTGACAGCATGCCTGCCCGGAGTTTTTACATTCTCTCTTCCGAGACCTAATAAAATCAAACTTCTCCAAATTGTCACCGTCTGAAGCTAGAACACAAAATGAAAGACATCTTTGAGGATGAAGGGCACACAAATGAAGATATGTTTAATATTTTATCTTAAAATCCATTTACACCTTAAGAAAATAACCTTTGTTACCCTTCCTACATGTACCTACTCAAAAATATCACTGCTACCCAAACATTTATTGCTAAGCAAAAAAAGCTATGGTTGTACATAAGTAACAGATGTTTAAGCATTCACAAATACTCTTTTGAGGTCAAGATAATTCAGAGATGAAGTAACAAAAAAAACAATATATGGTAAATAAATTTTGCATGGTTTCTGGGAGGGGAAACAAAGATAATTTAAAGGTTGGCCTAAAAATGATTTTTGGAGGTGGTTGTAGTTCCATGCTATTAAAGTAAATCAGAACACTCAAATATTACAATAGTTTGTGTAGTTAAATTATCCTTGAGAATGAATTAATATAAGAATAAAAATTAACATGTTTTATCCAGATATCTGCTTAAATGTTATGTTTTTTTATTGTAAATTTGGAGTGTAATATTCACTTCTGCATATAAATGAAAGATTAAACGTAGTTGTACTTTATATGTATGTGATTAATGATTATATGACCTGAGTTATAATATTGTTAAACCACAGAACACTATACCTTTATGTTACTTTACTAGTGATTTTTAGTCCAAGACTGTTAACATTGTTTTTAAGTATGCCATAAAAATTGGTTGTTATATGTAATCCGACAACTGTATTTCTGCCCCACCCACCCTATCTAAGGGAAGGGCAGGGAAATGAATAAATTACCCAAAATATCTATGGTTATGTCCCAACTTGTAGTATATACGTATGAGCCGCTATAAAGATTTTTGACAGATTATATGGCCTATATAAAAGGTTGTTTGGAAATTATTAACTTGAGCCGCTAGGCGAGGGTTATATCGGCAAGTAATGGTTTATGTATGGTCATATATACCTGTCAGGAAATACTGTAACGTGTAACGAATTTTATATAATACAGCAAACTTCTTTTTTAAGAGAAAAAATGAAGATTCCTTTATAAGATTTTGACAGCAGCCTTGTATATATAATACTATATAAACGTCATGATTATCTAAAAAATTAAAAGCGACGTTAACATACATGCAGGCCAGTATGGTAATGGTTTTGAAATGGGGGATTTTAACAGCTGATGACTAAGTGCTTGAAGGGGCCTTTGCTAATAGTTTGAAAGTAAAGGCAAAATTCATTCCATTGCATGTGATAGGGAAGTGAGAGATCTGTGGATATCATTGACTATCTAGTGCTTTCACTGCTTGTATCACTATTA